CCCGTGTGCCACCACCATAGTCCCGTGCATTTCCCTCCCTTCCCCCCCCCCCCCCCCCGTTTTTGATCCCATTCCCCACTCCACCCCCACAAAATGCCAGACCCCTGCTTTTAACCACTGCTCCACAGGGCTTATCTGACTGTGATAATGCAGACGGCTGTGCTGGGTGGCGCAGGCATGGGCCGTGGGGTCCCCGCCCAGGCCAGGTAAAGCGTTCTGAAAAGTGGTGTGTTGATTTCAAGTGGAGTGTGCAGCGGCTATAGGCTGGTCAGGGACCACAGGAGGCTGGTGGTGGTGAAATATGGGGCTGGGGAGGGAAGCAGTGGCCAAGTGATGCTGGTTCCTTCAGGCTGCACTGAGTCACTTTGCCCGAAGTGGCCACTGTGTCCTCAAGGGTAAACCCGAGTCCATCCTGTGGCAGGTCACCTTGTGTCCTGCCCTAGTATATCAGGGGACATAGGAGCATGACTTGGAGACTGTTAGGAAGTGCTACAGTAAAGAACTAAGGTGCTGGCAGTGGAGGCAGAGAGAGAGGAATTTTACAAGATCTAGTTAACAGAACTTGGCGACTGACTGCCTCGGTGAGGATGCAACGGAAACCCAAGGTGAGCAGCCGCTACAGATTCCTAAGGAGCCCTGGGCTGGCGCCCACCAAGGTGATGAGCCAGGAGGAACATGTTTGTGGGGGACATGATGAATTCAGCTTGAGGTAGTTGAGTTGAAGCAGGATGGCAAGATGTTCAAGAGCCAGCTAGCTACGTGGCTTTGATGCAAAGCAAAGGTCTGGGCTCGAAATCCCCACTGGCTGGATCACAGAAGTGGGTGAGGGCAGAAGAGAAAGCTGGACGGCACTCTGACCTCAGGGCTGTTCTGGTGTTCTCCCCACCCACCTCCCTGCCCAGAGAGCTTTCCTTTACCTTCTGGTTTCTAGGCAAAGTAAGCAGACACACACCTTTATCGATCTGGTTTATTGGCAAGTAGCTATAAGTCTGGGATCTGACACCCTTCTTCAGTCAGCTTGGTGCTAAAGGAGGTCAGGGAGACATCTTCAGAGTGTGGGCTGGAGCGGGGCATGGAGAGATGGGGATGGCGGGAGGGTCGGGGATGGGCCCTCTCAGGAGTAACTGCCTGGCCCTCCCAGGGGGATGATGAAGACCGAGATGTCATCCCCGGAACCCAGCTTGTTGTTGGGGAGACGCCAACCACGGTCCCGGGGGGTGCCCCGGGCACCCAGGACCAGAGCTTGGGCCAGAGCCGTGTACCTGCCAGGAGCACACGTGCACACTCAGGTCCCAGCGTGTACTGGGAAGGTAGAGAAACAGGCCCTCACGTGCGTGCCAAGCACTCTGCCCCTTGTCCCTTCCCTCTGCATCCCTCGCTGCCACATGACCCTACCTGCCGGGGTCATTGGGCTCGTAGGCTGAGAGCACCCTGTCCACGGTGGCGGCTACCTCACAGTCACTGGTGACATCCCACAGGCCGTCGGTCCCCAGGACCAGCACGTCATCTGGGCAGTGCTCATACTGTGTCAGGTCATACACCTGCACCTGGCGGGGGCGGGGAGGGGGGGAGAGGGAGAGGGAGCTGGAGCGAAGGGGGCCTGGAAGAAAGCCAGCCCGAGCCCGCCCAGAGAAGGCCTGGTGAAGGGGGCTCGGCTCGTCACCTCCGGGAAGCAGGAGAGGAAGGGCTTGATGGGCAGGCTGGAACTGCAGACCTTGAGCTTGTGGTCTCCCAGGCCGCGAGTCACGCCAATGGTGGCCATCACTCGAGCCTAAAGGAAACAAGGAGGTGCCGCTATAGCACTCTCGCCGACCCCCAGAACCTGGCCCCCCACCCGGACCCTCAGGTAGAACCTCCACCTCCCTAGACACATTGTGGGGGGCCCTCCGGCCCACTCTACCGTGGAGTTTACCTTTTTGCCCTCCCCACAGACCAGAGGAAACCTGAGATCCTCCAGCTCGATCTTTTTGTAGGCCCTGGGGAGGGGGAGTAGAGGAGGCATCACCCAGCCATCAAAGTCCCTCTCCCCTACTAGCAGAGTCCCTCACACAAACCCCTCAGGGAGGGCCACATCCCCCCAACTCCCAGCTGGGCCCCGCCTCCAGCTTCCACCTTGCTGCTGGCCAGGGGCTGGTGGCGTTGCCATGGGAACGGGCCCCAGCTCCGAGAGACATGTTACCAGCCGGTCATGTTCTGGTCCCGGTACAGCATCCTCTGCCCCAGCTCCTTGGGCTGCACTCTGCGGGGAAACTCAAGGTGGGTGAACTCACCACCCAGCAGCTCTGGTTTCAGGAAGCCCTGGATTTGGGAGTGGCCAGACAGAGCAGAGGGCCAGGGGCGTTAGGCCTGCAGCACAGCAGGGTAAACAGATGACCTAATGACAGCAGAGCAGCACTGTTCTGATATGAACACACTCAGCGAAGCCTCACCAGGACTCTTAAGGAAGGAACCGGCGATGCACGGCAGCCACGGGAATTGCCCGCCGCACACAGTAAGCAAAGCCCTGGCGCAGGACTCAGTCCCAGGCATGCGAGCCGCAGGCCAGTGTATGACGGCACTGGGCCCTGTCGCTGCCGCGCTCAGGACCACCTCCCTTGGCCTGTTCCCCCCCACACACACACACTCCCACCCCCCCAGCTCTTCCTCCCCCAGCTGGGCTCACAGTGGGGGAGCACCCATCCCTCCACCCCTTCCTGCTGCACTCTCCCCCAGCTCAGCCCTTCACAATAGTCTGTGGTGTGTCTTCCCAGGTGAGACCCCCGGCCTGTCTGTGTGGCAGCGTGGGAGCATTCTCAGGGATATGGGGTGCAGAGACACACAAGACGCCACAAGAATGGGGACAGAGGGCTTAGTTTCTACTTACAAGCAGCTGAAGACGCTGGCGTTCAGTCTCCGGGGTGAACTCCCGGGACATTGGAATGATTTCACCATTCCGGACAATGATGGCTCTGCCCAGAAAAAGAAAAGGTTTGGGCTTGGCACTCCTCAGTATCCTCATGGAAAATTCCAGAAAGACCCATAGTGACCCTCAGGATCCCCAAACCCCCATCAGTATGCCTCTGTGGCTATCTTAGGCCTCTCCTTGGTCTGTGATCCCTCATCCCTTCCCATCTTTGACTTCTTAATTCCTGCCACTTCACTTTCTTCTATCCCCCCCCGTCCCAGTGAGTGACACCCCGCTGCCATTTCCAAGCCCCCCATACCTGCTGTCACCTGCATTGGCCACATACACCTTTCCTAGCAGGTAGACCACAACCAAGGCACAGCAGCCCCCCTCCACACGGTGGCCGTGCCGCTCCTGGGCCATCTGCTCGTCCTGCCATGTGAGGAAGGGTCAAGGGGGTAGATGAGAATAGGTGCGTCACGGCCACCCCTCCGTCTGCCAAAATAAACGGGCCCAGCCTAGTCATCCTGCAGAAGACAGAAGGTGAACTCTTCCTTCTTCCTCCCCTCTGAACCAAGCTCTGCTCAGATCCTCAAAGGTGTTGTGGGCTCTCAGGGTCACCCCTCCGGTCACCCGACTCCCACACAGTGTTGACCAGAATGTGTGTCTAGCAGGGTCTGGGTCCAGGCCGCCCACTCACCATGAGCTGGAAGGCATTCTCAAGCGCCCCAACTACCAGACTCTCGTGGGTCACTTCCTTTTGTGAAGACCAGCAGGAGTGAGGAGCAACCAAGTGAGAGTGATCAGATGCGCCTGGAGCCCCTGGAGTGCAGGGGAGGCAGAGAGGAGGTGGGGAGGGGTCCTGGAGTATCTCTACCAGGTCCTTTAGCTGCTCCCGGATATGGCGATGCAGCAGCCTGGAGGCCATTTCAGCAGCTCCGCCACCTGCATGTCCATCAAACAGGCCCCAGTAGTAGAAGCAGAGGCCCTGGTGGAAGAAAAACTGGAGATGAGAGTGTGCGGGGAAGTAGGGGCTTGGTGGAAGAGGCAGGACCTACACTGGCAAAGAAAGGAAAGCAACCCAAAAAGCCGAATTGGGGAGATGAAGATGCAAAAATAAGTGCTGTTGATCAGTGAGACCATCCACAAATACGTGGGACCCACGTCTGAAATGGAAAGCAAACATTCGTACGTAACATGGAGGATGGAACTGCTGTATGCCCGATGAAGTTGCTACCCTGGGAGAGAGAGTGAGCTGTTGCTAGCTCAGATTTCAAACGGGATGCCCGGAATCTGGTGAGAAGTGTCCCCATGCCTCAGGAAATTAGGAAGGGGAGTGGGGGCTTACCTGACCTTGGCCAGTCTCCCCAGGTGCCCCTGAAACACTCTTCCGACCTTCCACATACACCACTTCACAGCAGGCCTGGTCCTCATTGTGCCGGCTCTTGCCAGCATTGATGACCCTGCCAGCCAGAGTGACCACATCAGGCTGGACACCAGACCAGGTCCTGGACTAAGCCCCACTTTAGACACCCCCCACCCCGCCCCGGGGGCCTGCTGGCCAAACTGAGAAAGGTCACAGCCACCTGGGATCCAGGCCAGAGGGCCAGGCTCAACAGCCTCACACAGCCACACACGCGCACAGGGTGGCTCCCCCAACCCAGGGCAAAGGGGCGCGCCTCGCATTGCAGGTTTTAATTCCCTGCTTGTCAAAACCCCTCGTTCCACCCTGACCCAATCAACTGGTGCACAGCACCCAGCCTTCGTCGGCACACCCCTCCCCACCCCCAATAGCTAAAACCATCCAGTGTAAGTTTCTGATGCTCCCGCAGGGAGGAAGCTCTCCAAGCCGGATCCCGAAAGTAGAACTAAAATAAGGGTGGGGGTTGGGGGGAACCCACCCGAACTCTGTAGGAGCCCCAGAACCTCTGACTCTTCCCTCCTACACAGCTTGGGCCACGGGCCCACCAGCCACCACCCTCAGCGACCTCAGCTCCCCCTCTCCGAGCTCTGCTTTCCCAGCAGATGCATTAAAAACACACTCAGCCTGGGAGCCAGCCGGCTGCAGCCGACACTCCAGCCCCCGGCCGGGGTCCACCTCCTCCCAGGCCAGCGAGCGCGGCAAGCCGAGGGGTGCTCCAGGCCGACCCTCTCGTTGCCTGGGCGGCCCCTCCCCCGCCCCTGGAGGAGCCGGCTGCCGCCGGGTGTCGCCGGCTATTTCTGGGTGTGGAGGGGGAGGGGAACGGTAAGAGGGCCAGGGAACTGGGGCTCTAGGGTCGGGAAGCTCAGGAGCTGGTCTTCCCAGCCGCCATCTCTTCCGTCCAGAGGACTCCCCTCTCGTAAACCCCTCTTCCCTCAGCCTTTAAGCTGCCCGGCCGCGGCCGGGAACTGGCCGACTCATTCTTCGCGGGGCCCTCCACCCTCCGGAGCGAACCAGGCAGGGAACGCGGTCCTAGGCGGCGGAGGGCGGGGAGTCCACGAGCTGGACGGTCCGAGGAAGGCTAGGGCGACGAGAGGAAGGGCTGAGGGGAGCGGCCGAAACCCAGGGGTAGCACAGGTCCCGGGAAAAGGGAACTGCAAGCCCTGATCGCGGCGCGGTGGGGGGCGGGGGGGCCCATCCCAGAGCCCGGGATGCGGAGCTGGGGAGGCGAGTGGGGAGGGTCCAGTCCGGGCTAGGGTGTCCCCGGGGGCGCTCACTCGGCGTAGCCCGTGCTCCAGGGCAGGCGACGGCCGGTGTCCGGGGGGCTCTGCACTGCCCGGCCGGCGTGGTCGTCGGCGCGTCGCAGACCCCCCGGGCTCAGCTGCAGAAAGGTCGGTCGCGAGAAGCTCGCTCGAGCCTCCGCCGTCTTCGC